ACTATTGTAGGGTGGGTCAGTGTGGTACCCCTTCAGTTCCCTACAAATTGTCAAGCTCCGCCCCCTCCCAGGGCCACCCAAGAGAGACAGACACCCACTCAGGAGACTGAGATACAGTCCATCCTCCTCCTGGGGCCCAGTCTCTGTCCCCTCCCATATCACTGTGTACTAGACCGCTCAGGCAGCACCTCCCCTCCTCTCCCACAGCAAACTTCCTTCCCAAGGACATATATGAAGTGCTGAAGGACCAATGGGATTACCTGAAAGAGGTAAGTGTGCCCCTCCCACGTGCTGGGACAGATTGGGTCAGGAGCCTCTCCTGGGAAGTCCACAAGTACTTAGCTCCAGTCTCTCTCAATGACAAGAAGCCCCCAATGCGCAAGCATCCAGAAAAGAGGAGGAAAACAGAGGGGACAGCAGGGCAGTGGGGCAGGCACCAGCTGACCCCAAGCAGAAGAGCTCCCCGGTGAACGGGAGCTCAGGGAGAGGGTGCCTCAGGACCTGTTTTTTGCCACATAAATGTCTCCTTCCTGGCTAGGCGGGAGTCAGTGACATGAAGCTGGGGCATCAAGGACCCCCGGAAGAGGCTGAGGACCGCTTCAGCATTCCCCTCATCATCACCATAGTCTGCATGGCGTCCTTCCTGCTCCTCATTGCCGCCCTCTACGGCTGCTGCCACCAGCGCCTCTCCCAGAGGAAGGACCAGGTGAGTGCTTCCCTCCTCCGGCCAGGAAACCTGGCCAGCTCACCTGATGAACTCTCCCCTCCTTATTCCCATTTGCAAAGGAGGAGAGTGAGTGGGCCGTGGACCCTTGCAGGCAGCCGCCTACTTACATGGAACATTAAAGGGGCAGTGTGGCTGGAGGGAAGAGCCTGGGCTTTGGAGCGGGGCAGACTTAGTTTAAGCCCTAGTTCTGCCCCGTTTTCTGTGCGACATCTCTTTGAGCATCAGGTTTCTCATCTGCATAGTGGGGATAATATCCACCCTGCAGAGCTGTTCTGAGGATTCGTTGATGTAAATGGCTCTAGGCATGCCCATTTAACCAAAAATTCTTTCACCAGCTTTACTAGGGGTTCTCATCATTTCAGCTCCACCCAGATCCATGGCTGCATACTATGGGAACCTTTAAAAACGTTTTCATGCCGAGCTGCCCCCACACCAGCTGAAGTGGAATCTCTGATCAGTACATGCGTTAAAAGCTCACTAGGTGATTCTAATTTGCAAACGTGGCGTATCTCAGAGAAAGTGCTGCTGCCAGATGCTTGCTATCCATGCAGCAGGATGGCTCTAGGGATCACCGTGCCATCTTGGCCAGGCTTAGAGAATCTGCAGTCACCCGGCCTGTGGGAGGTCATTTTCTTACAGCCCTTCTTAACCCATTATGATGGGCTGACGTGGGTGCCTGGAGAGAAGGTTTTGGGGAAGGAATGGAGGCAAGAGGAAAGAGCTTAGAGGTCTCAGGGGAGCAAAATCCATATCCACTGACTCGCCACCAGAGTGAGCTGAGGTGAGCTGGGCACTTAGGATACCACCTTCAGAGCAGCCGGCCCCCACACGTGAGCAGCAAGTGCTCGCTTTAGCCAAACTGGGGTCCCTGGGTTGGTGGGCTCCATGTGTTACAGTAAGACTTTTTAAGTAAGGCCAGTAGCCCTCCAAAATGACCCTTTCTCCCTGGATCCTATTCTCCCCTCTAGCAACGACTAACAGAGGAGCTGCAGACAGTGGAGAACGGTTACCATGACAACCCGACTCTGGAAGTGATGGAGACCTCTTCTGAGATGCAGGAGAAGAAGGTGGTCAACCTTAATGGGGAGCTGGGGGACAGCTGGATCGTCCCTCTGGACAACCTGATGAAGGACGATCTCGAGGAGGAGGAAGACACACACCTCTAATCGGGCCTGCTGGTGGCCGCCCGCAGCCTCACAGAGCTCCACGCGGACCACCCGAAGTGCCATTTGGACAGGGGAGGAAATCTCCTTCCCATTTGAGGAGGGAAGACGGGAGGGACAGTGGACTCTAAGTGTTACCTCCTCCCAATACCCCCCATGCCTTAATTTTCCCCTTTTCAAGCAGGACAAATCACATTCTGTCTAGTTTCCTCTTGTAAAATAACCCACTAGTGCCTGAGCTCAGTGCTTCTGGAAGATGAGAGAGAGCCATGTAAGGGACTTAAGAGATCATCTAGTGGAATCCCTTCATTTCACAGGTGGGGTTACTGAGGCCTAAAGAGAGTGACTTGACACAGCCACCTGATGACAGGATGGAAACAAAGACACCCTTCCCCTTAGTCCAGTGCTCATTTGCACCCCTCCATAGCCGCCCTGATTGGGGAACTCAGCCGGTGAATGGGCTGAAGGGAGAGCAGGCCCTATCCTGTCCCAGTGGGATCTGATCACTTCCAACTACATGCCCAAGTTTTCTATCTCCCGCCCAGCCTTGTCTGCCAGAGTTCCTGCCCCCTTCAATTTCCCCCCTCTCTCCACTCAATTTTTATTGAGATTAGCATAGGGCATTCATGATCTTGAACCCCTTGTTCTGGATTCTGATTCGCTTGCATTTGCTTAGTGAGATTGGGACTTAGCCCACACAAGACTCCAGTGTGAATGAGGTCTGCTTGAGGGATTTGTGCACAGATTAGAAGGGGAAGCTCTTCATCCCCGGCGGCCTCTGCAGTGCAGCTGGTTAGGGGTCAGCACTAACACTGGCCCGTGTCCCAAGGTGCTCCTTGAAGAGGCTCCCCAATATCTGCTGTGGCCTTCCATGCCCACAGGGGACTGAAATCTGCAGTAGCTGCTGAAAGCAAAGTGTTCCTATTTTGTTCACTGCTTAGCTGGTGGGGGTGAAGACTCAAGCTGGGGACCTCCTGAGACCCAGTGAGAGCAATAGCTGTAGGACAGACCTCTCCCAGGGCCCCCAGTCAGCAGAGATGTGTCTTAGCTGACAATGGATTGACACAGCCAGGAGGGACAGGCTCTACTCTCTATTTCATAGGAAACTCAGGGACTTTTCAAGTTGCTGGGAGTTTGTTATATGTGTGTGTTTGTTTGTTTTTTAATCCAGCCCTCCACTGCCAAAGGCCAAAGCTCAAATGGTTGGAAACTTGCAGTTAGCTCATCTCCCTGATTCTGAGCCTCCTGTGTGCAGGGAAAGAAAGGCTCAGAACATATGCCATGCAGTTTAGGGTGCTGAAGGGCGGTTTATTCCCAGTGACTTGTCGCAGTCCTGGCATGAAGTTAGGCTTTGCTGTTTCCTCTTCTCTATAGTCCTAAAGGGGCTGCTGTAGTTCTCCTGCAGTTTCTGGAGGCATCTCAGGGAAACACAAAGCCATGCCTCTTCCTGGTAGAGGGTTTGTATGGGCTCAGCAGTTAGCTGCCATATAGAAGGCTCCTGAGGACTGGACACAGTGAGGTTTCATTTGACTTTCTGAGAAAGGGGAATCCTGTGTGGAATTTCGGACTTTGGCCATGGTCTCTATTGTTCCTGAGCATAAATTCCCTGGAGCCAACTAAGAAGATGGGCAGAACTTCTTAAGGGAATTAAAACTTATTTTAGGGCAAAAAGTTGCAATTCCGGGGTTTTCCAGGCAGACCCAGACTGCAGTAGTTCTGGTGAAACAGGCTATGTATGTGCTTCGGGGAAGCTTATTTTTAAGAAAGGTGCAGGGCAGGGAGGAGAGAGTCAAGGGAGGATCTCTGTCCTTCCTGGGCTGCCTTGATTACTTCTTTATAGTCTGTAGCTGTTTGAAATCCTAGGGGAAAAGGAAGGCCAGGGGTTCAAGTAGGGCTCCCAGCAAGTTTCCTGAGAGAAGAGATGCTAGGTTAACAAGGATCCAAGAGCATTTTCCCTCATTCTCTAGCATCTGGAGGTTAGGCAGGATGGAGAACAGTGCCAGTTTTGGGGGAAATAGAGGAAATCTTATTAGCACTGGAAAGAACCAAACCAGCAGTTGATTCTTTCCGGCCAGTGGGTTTCTGTCATGGCCTCTGTGAGAGAGGCCAGACTGGATTATTACTTCTTTGCTGACTCTGGGTCACATTTCACCAGTCAAGGCTTTCAACAGAGACAGCAAATATGCCTCTGCAAACTGACCAAGGCTGCAACCCCAAGGCCTCTTGGAAAGAGGTGGTGACTGGCAAGGACCAGAGAACAGAAATTATGTCATTATTCCTGGTCAAGAGGAACGACTATGGTTCTATCCAAGGAGAACCTGGAGAAGCTTTGGGCTTATTCAGAGGTTTCTTCTTTTTGTGTATCCAAATTGTGTTGCTCTAGCCTTTTAGGGCAACTTCAGATGCCAGTACCTGGCCTTGCCCTTGCTGCTGGGACATTCGTGTCAACGGGCTACACAGCCATGCATCTGTAATGGTCATCTTCTTCCCCCATCTTTACTGGGTTCTAAATGCTGTCTGGTAATTCAGATGCTGGGGCTGAGAAGAGGTAAGAGGAACACTGGGAGCTCAGCAGGACTTTAAGTGAGCTGTACGAAAGAGAGGTTATGAACTCTATTTCGGTGGCTAACTATGGTTTCCCCAAGCTGTACAAAAGGCCAGTAATTATGAATCCGATGATTGGACAAAACCCAGCAAGAAGCATGCTTTTGTGTGAGTGGGGAGAGAAGCAGCAGTGTTTATGAAGGAGGTACAGAATATTCTTTGCATCGTAAAACACAATATGGGTTTAATCCAGTTTAGACACCAGATTTTTCCCCCCTCTTAATAAGGAAAGCTAGCAAAGAGTTTATTTAAAACACTTCTTGAGCTTTATCTTTTTTGACAATATAATGGAGAAACATTGAAGAACAAGTTCAAATTGATATATACATATTTTTTGATAATGTAAATAAAACAGCCACATGTTAACCCACCCTGCACTGCTTTAAGTGAATATACTTTGAAAAAACATTTGTTAGCTGAGATGGCTAAGCTTTTTTTTCTCTGAATAGGAATGTAAATGTCTATCTGATTAGGAATGACAAGCTTTTAATTTTTTTTAAACAAAAAATGAAATAACAAGACAGGCTGATGACAAAGTATTTGTCTTGCAGATCGAGTGTTTTTACTTCGAAATATGACCCTCACCTCGTCCCCAGCAATCCCAGCCCCATGATAGTCAGGGTTGGAATCGGTGTGCACTAGTTAGAAGGTGACACTGTAGTCATAAGGAGTGGGTTTTAGAGATCTAATCCAATCTTTTTCTACAGAAAAAGAACCTGAAGTCCAGAAAGACATAGCGACTTGGCTAAAATTACATGGTTAGGGACAAATAGGATTAAAACCTGGATCCACAGACTGTCCAGTGCTGTGTGCCTCACAAGGAATCAGTGAATTAAGGACTGCCACTCATAGGCACCAGAATAACACAAAGGGCAGCATTCCCTTCCCAAATCTTACCCCAGCAAAGCTAGGGAGAGCAAGAAGACAAAAATAGGAGCCCCACTGGGCTTCTCCACTTCTGAGTCATTTAGATCTAAGATGTAAACATACAGTTCTTTCTGCCAAGAAACAGTTTTGAATGAGCTTTTACATATGGAACTTCTACTAGCAAGACTAAGGGTCAAAGGGAACAAGCTAGGGGGAGACAGAGGGCAAGAGTAAAACAATGGCATAGCTTTTGTCATTGTCACTAGCTGGAAACCCAACACTGAGTGAAAGGGAATTACTAGTTGATGTGGGTCTTTGTTATTAGCGAATGTTAAACAGTTTGCCCAGGAGACTGGGGGAACGTGTCTTAGTGGACAGGGGTCTGAAGTACACTGGAATTTACTGAGAAACTTATTTGTAAAGATTGTAGTTAATTATTGCATTTTCTTACAAAAATATATTTTGGAAAATTGTATACTATTAAAGTGGTTTTGTGTAAGCTGGTTCAGTCCCTAGTATTTTGCTCCAATTGGCTTAAATTCCTCACATGTGCGTGAGGCTCATCACGAAAGCACCTGAGGCCATCACGTGGGTCCCATGAATGCAGCACCTTGCTCTTAGTTATACTCGCTGAGCTACGCACAGAGAGCAGGAGAAAAGGAGGGAAACTGATGAAAAGGAAAAGGGAGACCTTGGAGGTGGCGATGGTTCTCCACGTGATCTCAGCCTGTCCCCCAACATCGCTTTATAAATGTACTGTCTTCCCTCCTTCCGCCTCACATACAAACATGAATCACCACCGCCAGAGGTCCCAAGGCGGCTGCTGATCCCTGCTCAGGTATGAAAACACTGGCAAGAGACCAAACAAATAAAAATAAAGCAGCTCTGTTCTGTCCCTGTTTCTGCCCATCAAAGGATCTGTTTCCTTGCCACAAGAGGCTTCTGCCTGTCCCTGTACCTAGTGGAGGAGGAGGAGGTTCAGGGAAGGAATGGTCAGAGATGATTCTGATTCTCTTTATCTCTAAGGTGACGTTATCTACATCTGTATGTTTCCTCACTGCAAGGAGGAAACATCATCATTCCCAACTTGCAGAACTTAACTGTCAGGTAGATCTGGTCCATATTCTTAGCTGTTAGACAATCTCTTTTGTTTGCCTGGCATCTTAACAGTTTACAAAGCATTTCCACATCTTATTTAGGAATTGTCACCACTCTACAGAGGAAAATTAGGTGCAGAGGTAAAGTGTTTTCTGAGATTACATAGCCATTTAAATGGTAGTACCAGGCCTTGATTCCACATCTTTTCTCTTTAGTCCTGCATTTTTTTCAATACATTAATGCTTGCATTCCAATAACAACAAAGTACATTTCTAGAATGCAACTGCTATTACAATGTGATTTTCCTTTCATATGGGAGTTCTGAAAGGCAGTTAACACCCAGAAGGGTGGGCCAGAATTGGACCAGGGGTATTTTGAGGTTAATTTCAAGAGTTTGCCAAGGATACAGAAAAGAGTCCAAGAACCAGGAACTCACACAGGACCCTGGCCATGCTTGAGGCATACTGTTCTAAGGGAGTGATTCATAATTTATCATGGGCTACAAATTAGACCTAAGACTCCATTCTCTTCCTGAGTAGGTCATTGACCCTGCTCCCTGCCGACAACCAAGAGACACTCTGAGTTGTCATTTAAAATTTGTTATGCTTCTGTCACTCACAAACCTCTGCATCCTATAAATCCCTTCCAAACCACTTATTTCTTC